GTTCATTGCACTCTGTATTATTTATATTGTTATTTTCTAGTTTTCACGTCGGACTAAGTAATGTCTATTTGTCATGGTGACTTCGTTTTTTCTAGTTATTGTTATGGACTTTGCATTTTCTAATTATCGTGCTTGACTTTGTATTTGTTGTTGCACTTTGTACTTATTATCTGAGTCTATATATGTATTATTGTGTATTTGTTATTACACTTCTGCTTATTATCAGAGTGTTCTATTTATTAGTGTGTATTTATTATTACACTTGTGCTTATTATATCTGAGTGTTCTATGTATATTATTATACAGGATTGATGTCACGTATGTTTATGGTCCGCGGGACACTTCATTGCTATACCGCCAGTCAGAGCACGTATCCAGATCGATTACATCTGTACACATGGATGATATTGTGCGCGGGAGACGCTGTGATGGTTGGATTTGGGGTTTATATGGAGATGATGGTGATGATGTTCCACACCCTAGAGTGATCCAGTACTTAATTGATACTAGGTTCTATGGAGTATATCGATGTGGTTGTCTCGTAGTCGATTTGCATCTTATTGCAGCTTTAGTGGAGAGATGGCGCCCGGAGACATACACGTTTCATTTTACAAGGGAGGCGACAGTGACACTTGAGGATGTCGCACGATTATGGGGTTTGCCTGTTGATGGACTACCTGTTACTGGACAGGATATTTCATGGTAGAAGGAGCAGTGGCAGGATTATTGTCAGACGTGGTTGGGATATGCTCCTTCAGATGGAGCTTTCAAAGGGAGACGGCTCTTTGCAACTGATTTGGCCCTACATTAACGACATTGCACGATTACTGATGACAGCACGGAGCAGCGTGTTCAGCAGCATACCAGGTGTTTACTGTTATTGCTACTTGGGGTGGGGGGTTATGTGTCCGGACACATCTTCAAGTGCAATTTTGTTGTTGTATCTTCGTCATTTCGAAGATCTTGATGCAGTGCGTACTTTCAGTTGGGGTAGTGCAGTTCTTGGATATTTGTATCGTGAGCTATGCACTGGGGCTTTACTTAAGAAAGTTGTGGAACAAGGCGGCACTGTTGAGTTGGATAAGAGGAAAACTAATATAGGTGGTGCGCTTACTCTGTTATAGGTAATATGATTTTTAATACTTTTAAAATTTAAATTAATATTTTATTATACTTGCGGTTTTTGATATTTTTTATGTTTAATAATTAGTGTTGGGCATGGTCGAGGATACCTTTACTCGCTCCAGCAATACTACCAGTAGTAGAAGATGATTCCCGTCGGCTTGCATATCCTCATCCTCCTTACGGTGCACGGTAAACATTTTAGTACTAATAATTTATTTATATGAAGGTTAATATATTAACTTAGCAAATTTTCATATGATATTACAGTTGGATCAGACTTACTAGTTACACTCGGTCCTCGCGAAACAATATACGTGTTTATCGTACGACGCTCGATCGGATGCTCTGGGATCAGGTTATTATAAGTTAACTGCAATTACGTTAATGTTTGTGGTCTATTTAACAATATATTAAAAAATATATTTTTTTCTAGTTTACATGGATGCCTTATAGTGAACTAGATCCTGAGTTTGGTGTTTTACTTGAGTATCATGAGATAGTGCATCCACAGCTTTGGTTGTCGAGTTGTCCCCTTATATTTTACAAAAGAGTTGAGATACATCGTCCGTATAGGGTGCTACGTCAGTTTGGGAGGGTACAACATATACCACCACATCCTACTGATCACGATATTGAGATTAAGTTGCATTCTTATGATCGCCGAGGTGCAGGGGGTAGAGATTGGGCTCGTTTTCACCGTATCTATGTTGATAGATGGCATGGCCGACTTGATTCTTCTGTTGACTATCCATTTATTGAGTTTAGTGGGTCTCAGACAGATCCAGGATACTACGAGTGGTATGAGAGGCAAACATGTCGTTTGATATCACTGATTGATAATCTTGATGATATCGGTTTTCAGGTCGGAGACCCGATTTTACCGTATCTTGTGGTTAGTATTTTTCTCAAAACAACCATTACTTTCGATGTTTTTCAATTTGTTTTTTCAGTTTTTTAAGTTCTTAAACTTGTAATGCCTTTTATTTCAGGGTAATCAGCTTATATCCATGAGTCTTGCTGCTATGGCAGTTTCTCGAGATGACGATCGGATATATGATATGTATCAGGACAACGCTACACAGATGTATGCAGCTGGGACTCAACTTCTACGTAGAGATGGTGCTCCGTCCAGCTTACCTCCGATACCTGCCATACCTCATATACCATCTCCGCATCGAGATAGACGTACCAGAAGAAGGTCCAGCATTGCCGAAAGAGCTACTGAATTGGAGCATGACGTGAGACAGACGAGAGAGGGGAACTACTATGCATCTACATCTCGGGTACCTCCATCTGGAGATGTTGCCGGTCCATTTGCTTCTCATACACCCTTTTATGCAGATGTTTCTGTGCATGGAGGTATGGACGATTTACCTAGTACACAGGGATTTATGGATATGTTCGGTCCGTCTCAGGTACCCACATTTACAGATTTAGTTGGTCCATCTACGAATGATTACGTTCCAGATATGCCATGGTCCGATTCTCTAGCTACCCCATATCCTCCTGCTATTGATACTCGGTTCTCTTCATGGGGTCCACATTTGGAGCTCAATTTGGGATACTCAAGTCCCCAAGAGCGGATCCGACCACAGTATAATGTTTCCCCTGTTCCATATCCACCGAATGACACCCCGTTTGTTGATGATATACCGTCAGATCCTGACATTCGTCGAGATGGTAGGCCGCGTAGGACACGGGCACCTGCATGTGGCACTTGTTCACATAGACACTGACTTCATAGTGCCAATTTTATTTTCTTGTACTCATTTTGTCCTTGTACTCATTTTGGACCTATTTATCTTATATAACTCTTTTATTTTCTAGAACTCCTTTTGTTTTTGTCTACATGTTTTTAAGATTGTACACTATTTTATTGTGTTAATTAGATAAAAATATGCAATGATTAATTTAACACTAATGGATAAAATATATAAAATGTAATAAATTTAATACTAACATCAAACTAATGAATTTAGTTAGAATTGTTTTATTTTGGAAAAAAAAATTAAAAATCAGAAAATATTAAAATATTAAAATATAAATATTTAAAATATTAAACTATTAAAATATTAAAATATTAAATTATTAATATTTAAAAAATAGAGAGAAGACGCCACTGGTGGTGGCGTCTCCTACCGTGCCGCCGTTGGAGCTGGCGTCTCCTGTCACAGCCGTCGTCAGTGGTGGCGCCGCCTGCCGGTGCCGCCGTGAGGTGGCGCTCAACCCCAATTCGTTTACTCCTCCCAAAACAACACCATTTTGAAAACTGTTTTCTAAAACAACACAAAAAAATAAAAATTGCCCCGTCCTTGAAGCTATAAAGAATACTTTTCACGAGCTTCCAACTAATTTTCCCATCTAGTATATAGGTGGTATATTACCAAATATCATCAAGGCAATTTATTGAATTATACAAATAAGAAAGTTAAAATATGGGCATGAAGGATTAAAAATTGCTTATTCGTTGTATGCCTAGGAAGTACTTGCTTCCCAAAGCTCTGCACACTTCCCACCGAGATTACATATTAGAACACATAATAAAATTTCAAACATATAAAATTGGAAATTACGATTAACAAAGTTTAGGTCTTGATCATAACCACTAATTCAATGCACTTTATGCTACCAAATTATTTACACACATTCATGCACTTATACGTATTGATATCGATGTGTATAAAATTTGTATGAATCTATACATAGAAACACGTATGGTAGGATATATATATAAACCAGATAAAGTTTATCGCGTATAGCATAAAACAAACTTCACTAATTCCCGCTTCTAAGCGACCATCAAACAAATAGTATATTTAGTTTGCATATAAACCTCTATAAATTAATACAGTTAGGACCATCAAAATTTTATTAATTTAGCGAAATATTAACTTATTGATAAGTTAATAATTGTTAATTTATACTTAATTAATAAACTTATTAATTTATGAAATTAGTTTCAATAAATGCATTTTTTAGATTTTTTTACGTACATATTATTGATTGTACCATTAATCCAATGTACTATAGAGCCCGTTTCTCGATCGGAAACTTTTAAAGCAACAATGGTATTGACCAATTTTGTGTTGAGTTATGAGAAAACTATATCAGAAATTTTAACCATGTTAAGAAAAGTGAGGACGGGATTGACGGTGATGTGAACTTCAATAAGAAACAAACGACAATTAAATTATATTTTATCAAGTCTTCATAGTTCTATAAAATATGTTCTATATAATGTAAGAATTATTTTTATTCATTTATTATTATATATTATACGGGATTTCTTAAAATTTTTGAATGTGTATTATCTTATAAATTTACGAATTTATTAATTTATAGCACGCTGCCCCCGAATTATAACAAAAAAAAAAATTATTTAAGCAAAATTATTAATTTCTCGAGTATTAAATTATTGAAATTATGCTCTAGGTATCTTTGCATCCCAACATTACCATATAAACTAATAAGAGCCTCTATTATGTTTGAGAGCAACACATTCATACATGAGCTTCAATATTCCACCAACTCTCCACCTAACAAAAAAACAAATAAATAAAATAAAATAAAGTCCACCATTATTAAAATAATGTCAAAGCTTTCCAAAAACATCACCCAATTATAAACTATTTCACCACATTTCTATTTCCATTAACAGAAATTCGAGTTGAAGAAAATGTCAATTTCCCCACAAACATTATATATATTAATTAATTAGCTGCTTGTGCACGTTATTTTGAGGCGTTGAATTCCCTGGTAAAAACCCACCTCTGTTAGGCCCTCTAATTATACATTTGTTTCAATATATATATATATATATATATATATATATATATATATATATATATAGCCTAGTGTGTGACTATATATATATATATAACAATATTACCAGCTGCCTAGCCCAGATATTGCCTTAAAACTTCAACAGTTTTGTAAAGTTTAATGTTTTTTGTTTCTTATACATAACTGTGTTCTAATTCTTCTGAACCGATTAACTTTTAAGCTGTCTTAATTTTCTGTTTTGGCTGATTATTAATGAGCAATTCAACAAAGCCAAGAATGAGATCCATGTCTTATTTGGCTTATGACAGAGGTTGAAAATCTTGAGAAAAAAAAAAAAGTCGTGTTTATACATACATATACATATATATATTCATATATACATACACATGGAAGTCGACAACGGTGATCGGAAAAAGAAGGCAAAAAATTCCGTGCTGAAAAAACTCGAGAGATTTATGTCGTTCGATAGGCAAAAGAAGCCGCCTTCGTATTCATCCAACAATAGCATGTTCACCAAGAGCAGATCATGGCACAGCAGCAGCAGCAGCACTAAGAACAAGGCGAAAGAAAAGGCTCCGATCGGGTGCTTCTCGGTGTACGTGGGCCCCGAGAACCAGCGGTTTGTGATCAAGGCTGAATGCGCGAACCACCCTCTATTCAAGATGCTGCTCGAGGATGCCGAGTCGGAGTACGGTTTCAAAGTCGAAGGGCCTTTGCGTATTCCTTGCGAAGTGGATCTTTTCTGCAGGATATTGGCTGAAATGGATAGTAATATTTATGGTGATCAAGAATCGGATACTTTGGGTTTCGGGTGCAGCCCGTTCAGCCCGGCCCGACGATCCGGTAAAGGCGGCACTGGTTACGGCCTTCTCACTCCGCCGCGCTTACTCAAGATCAATCACTTTTAAGGCCATATATATATATATATCGTGCATCATGTGATGAATGTATGTTCTGAGAAATCTTAGTTTTTATGGTTATTGAATTTGAGTTATCTCTTCTTTTTTGTTTTTTTTTTTTTTAATCATTTTACTTTTAGAGGAGTTCGTTTGTTTTTGCTATAGGTTTACACTAGCGGTTTCTGTTTGTTAGCTTGGAGTTGGCAGCAATTGTGCACGCATATCGGAGGTCCTGTGGCAAATCTAGAATTTTATTCAAAGTGTTCGAAATTTAGTTTTAAAAAATATATAGGCTTAATCAAACTGAATATATTATTTAACTAACCTCTACTATTTAATCAATTAAAGTCAACAACGGCAAACAAATAACGGATGAGTAGTGGTCGTCTCCTCGCCTACGTACCAAAGAATATTTTAGGGTGATACTTTTTTTTGGGCGTATGACTTTTTTCTTTGGAGTGAATTGGGTTTTTCATGCCTGGTTTGGGCTTGGAGAACTCAAACTCGTGCCAATTTTGTCGTGAATTACGGAAAATTCGAAAAACACGAAAACCCTAGAAATCATTTCATGGATCGAAATGCAAGGACGAATATATATGTAGAAGTTATACATATATGAAATGTGATATAATGTGAGTGATGTCGATCTCCATCTTCATGGAAGAATTCTTTAATCATATGTTGCGAATAAAATGATGTCATAACGATCATACGCACATATATATAAAAAATATGCCTATTTAAATTTGGTTGGCAATTTCTATCAAATTTAATTATTGTTATTATTATTAAGCAAAAGTTGGGATGGAAATACATTTTATTCATCCCAACTGTTGTTATTTTATTCCACGATATTGATCAAAATACATTAACCAAAAAAAGCAACGAAATAAACAATATCGAGGAGCTAAATTTAACACGATTGGAAAAACAAGTTCTTAGATAATTGGATTACCAAACGTTTATATAAATATAAATTGATAACATTGGAAAAATCCTCCACGCCGAAATGCCACAACCAACTTTACGAGTGTAATCGAATCAATGCACCACTGTTACACATTAGTATGAATCATGAAATATTATAACATGACAATACTATTGAGGGTTATGTTTACTTCGCACCTCTCGTGAAAAGATGCTATTTGCAGATTAGAATAAATAGGGAGTATTTTTGCGATTTAAAAATTATATAATGTTTGTTTCAATAAGGTAAATTATAACCACTACTGTCAAATTACGAAAATCCGCTTTATGTTTATAAATCTTCTTACATGTTTATCCTTACAGTTTCAAATCTAGTGGAATTTTCTAGATTATATGGAATATTCTCAATTTTGGATCCGTTTTGTCCCATTCGGGCTCCACATTTTGAAGCTAGATGATCATAAGATGTGTTTTTTGGCTTGTATATATCAAATTGTGGTGCATTAGAAACTGTATTATTTCACAAAATGAGTACAAACTAGAGAACATTCCACATAATCTAGATGATTATGTTGAATTTGTCACCATAAGGGTGGAGATGTAAGAAGATTTATAGTTAAGGGGTAGATGTAACTATCCAAACATGAGAGATTTTTTTCGTAATTTAACCATACCTCAGGGCATCTCCTGTCGATGGGGGGGCGGCTCCCCCGACCCCGACCCCGACCCCAACCCATTTTTCGTCCAGCCGACCAATCTCTTTCTTCTAATTTTTTCCAACACCACTCTCACCATATAATAATAATAATAATAATAATAATAATAATAATAATAATAATAATAATAATAATAATAATAATAATAATAATAATAATAATAATAATAATAATAATAATAATAATAATAATAATAATAATTAATAGAATATTTACAATAAAATTACTATTTTAAATTAAAAAGATCGAATTAGAGAAAAAAAACGAGAAAACTAAAGTAAAAAAAAAAAGAAATTAATAATAAAATGAAAATAAATAAAGAAAAAGGAAAGAAACAAAAAAGGAAAAAAAAAAAGAATTAACATAAATTAAAATAAATAAAGAAAATAAACAAAGAAACAAAAGAAAAAAATAAAAAAGAAAATACTAATGTGGAAGAAAAAAAAAATGGAACAAAAGCCTCATACGTGAAAGACACGTGAGGCACCGGAGAGTGAGAGCCCAGGGCTTCTCCCTGGGCTCAAATGACACCCCCAGCCAC